AAGGTACAGCACTTATTTAGAAAGATTTATTATTTTCTAGGAACTATTAGCTAAGGGGCTGTGTCTCCTGTCTTTCAGAAGCAGTTAAGAAGGAACAAGAAGGTAAATTGAATCAGGTAGTATATAGTCTTTAAGTGAAAGAAATGTTTATGCTTTCCACAACAAAGCATCTTTTTTTTTTCCGCTTTAAGAGAACAATAGGCTGATTCTAGATATGGAACAAAATTGGCAAGCAGAATTGGCGACTATAAGCCAGTTTTATAAGCATAACAGAGGATGATTTACCATCCAATGATGTACTTTAAAACTTAACACGAATCAAGGGTTTAAAAGATGGGCAGGTCATTTATGTTGCCCAAACTCCTAGAGAAATATTTGACTTGGGCCAAGGAGGCAGAGATACTCCAGACAGTTGGGGGAAGGGAACAGGGGATAGTTTTAATACCATAAGGAAACTTTTAAAGGAGTATAACATCCATCATTTTGTCAACAGTGATTTCGTTAAGGCTGATATTTTAGAGCAGTTCAATAGGACTCTGAAATCTAAAATGTGGTGTTAATTTACAGCTCAAAACATATTTTAATACATTAATATAATTCATCACTTTATCACTAGGTACAACCATCAGATATTCTGCAAAAAATACCTATAAATGTCATAGCCAGAAATTCTTTAGCACTTTAAGAGAAAAAACAAAAAATTCCATTTTGTGAGAAAGGAAATCATGGCATCTGGGTCAAAGGAGAAATTCAAAAAGTGGGTCCAGGAGGTAATAATAAGAAAGATATATTCAGCAATAGAAGTGGTGATCAGGAGTTAGAAACTAGTTATTAGTTAAAAGATCATGAAGAAGCAGAGATAAGCTGCTAGAATAACAAAAAATCATAACTCTATGCCAAGAGTCAATACACAACATAGAAAAATAAATTATTTATACAAAGGGATATGCTCATCAAATGAACAAGACTTTGATGATTCAGAAATTTTACATGGTGGAAAGTAGGTAAATAAAAATAGTTTTTATATTGCACTACCCAGCAATATTTCAATATTACCTTTCCCCTGAAGTTTAAGGCTATCTGATGGTTGAGAGTTAAGCAGATCAAGGCCCCAGAACAAGGAAATCACCCCTAAAGATGCTACCTTCTGGTGTGAAGGGCCATATTATCTAGAGGAATAAGTATAAACTATCAACTATGTATACACATATACAGATATCTATGTATGTATGTGTGTGTGTGTATATGTGTGTGTGTGTGTGTATATATATATATATATATATTTTTTTTTTTTAGGAAAAAACAATTTAGTTCAAGTCATCTTCTATGGTCCTCTCAGAATTTTATGTTAGATCTTTTGCTTTTAGCTGGCTAAGACAAGTAAGTGGGAAGACCACATGAAACATTTTAGTGTCAGGCCCGGAAGTGGATGTATCCTATCTACCACATTACTTTGTCCAGCATCCAGTCACAAGGCCATATCCATATTGCAATCTGGGTCAGGAAAAGTAGTCTTCCCATTCGGAAAGGGAAATGGGATTGATGAGCATCTAGCAATTTCTGCAAAAAACAAAAACAAAACAAAACGTTGGTACATACAAACATGCACAAATATTCCCTATTTCCCTTTTATTGGTATTTGCAGGTATGTCTGGGTCCAACTATTAATTTTCAACCTTTTGAATTAGATTGGTTTTTGATTCTCTTTAATCTATAGTTTATATACTTGGGTTTTGCTTTGTGATTTGATTTGAGAGTTTATTCCATTTAAATTTATTGATCTGATAGATATGTTTGGTCTTAGTTTTGTCAAATTGTTATGTTTTATGTTTAATATTATGTTTGCTATAAGGTTTTGTTTTTTATTTGGTTTAGTTTTAATCTTGTTTATTTTCTTCCTAATAATTTCAATAGTTTTCTTTTTAAAATTAATATAACTTATCCTCCGATATTTATAGACTTGAAAAGTCTGTTGGCTTTAAACATGTGCAATAATTTGGTTTTGCATTAAATTCTTAGGATGTTCTTTCTTTTTCTGAGAAAACTGTAAATAATGTTGCATCACCTTCTAGCACTAATTATAACTAAGATGAATTTCTATACAATTTTCTCTTTAGTTTTGAAATAAGGTAAATTTGGGTGCTATTTCTTGATACTGACTTATTTGTGTAAACATGTTCTAAAACAACATGTTGTTGAAACTGCTAAATAGCCTTCCAAAGTGTTGCACTAACTCACCATCCCACCAGCAAAGCATGAGTTTCTGTTGCTTCACATTCTTGCCAACTCTTATTATTTCTAGTTATTTTAATCTTAGTCATGTGAAAGGGTATGTATATAGTAGTAACTTACCTGCATTTCAGTTTGTATTTTTCTGATGACTATTGATAGTGAATATTTTTCATGTTTTTATTGACTACTTATACTTTCACATATTATTTATATATAGTTTTATATAAAATATAATTATAATGTAAATATATTATGTATATTATATATGTATAATTATATACATAAATTTGATAGATATAACATTTTCTCACAATCTATGGCTTGTCTTTTCATTTTCTTAACAGTGTGTTTTAAACAGCAGAAGTTATCCTGAGAAAGGAGAACAAAGTGGGAGGCCTGACTTCCTGATTTCAAACTATATTATAAAGCAAAAGTAATTGAAATAGTATGATACTGGCATAAAAACAGACACATTGACTAACAGAACAGAATCGAGAACCCAGAGATAAATCCAAGAAATATTTGACAAGGGAGCCAAGAATACTTCATGGAGAAAAGATAGTCTCTTCAATAAACGGTGCTGGGAAAATTGGATATTCTCTTACAAAAGAATGAAATTAGGTCACTGCCTTACACATCTCACAAAAATTAACTTGAAATGCATTAAAGACTTCAATATAAGACCAGAAACAATAAAACTTCTAGAAGAAAACATTAAAAAAAAAACTCCTTGACATAGGTCTTGGCAATAATTTTTTGTTATGACACCTAAAAGCACAAGCAACAAAATCAAAGAAACAAATGGGGCTTTATCACTTAAAAGCTTCTGCACAGCGAAAGAAATTATCAACAAAGTGAAAGGCCTACCTACAGAATGGCAAAAAGTATTTGCAAACTGTATATTTGATGAGACTAATAACAAAAGTATACAAAGAACTCATACAACTCAACAGCAAAAACACAAACAATCCAATTTAAAAGATGGGGAAAAGACCTGAATAGATACTTTTCCAAACAAGATATACAAATGGCCAACAGCTACATGATGAGGTGCTCAACATCACAAATCATCAGGGAAATGCAAATCACAACAACAAGATATTACCTCCTGTTAAAATGGCTATCATCAAAAAGACAAGAAATAACAAATGGTGGTGAGGATACAGAAAAAAGGGAACACTTGTGCACTGTTGGAGGGATTGTAAATTGGCATAGACACCATGAATAAAAGTATACCATTTCCTCAAAAATATTAAAAAAAGAACTACATATGATCTAGCAATTCCACTTTGGAAATACATTTGAAGTACACGAAAACACTAATGCTAAAATATATATGCACCCCAATGTTCATAGCAACATTTTTACAATAGTAAAGACATGAAAACAACCAAAGTGTGTCCACTGATGAATAAATAAAAAAGTTAATGTATAATAAAAATAAGTAATATAAAATATATGTAAGAAATAATATATACATAAATACATATATACATATATGATGGAATATTATTCAGTCATAAAAAGAAGGAAATATTGCCATTTGTGACATGATTGGACCTTAAAGGCATTATGCTAAGTGATAAAAGACAAACAGAGAAAGACAAATACTATATGATCTCACTTATATATAGAGCCCCCCCAATAAAACCAAAAACAAAAAACAAACTCATACTAAAAGAGAGAAGATTTGTGGTTACCAGAGGTGGAGGGGTGGGGGGTATTGGATGACAGTGGTCAAAAATACAAACTTCCAGTTATAAGATAAATAAGTAAGGATACAATACACAACATGATGACTATAGTTAACTATACTGTATAGCATATTTAAAAGTTGTTGAGACAGTAAGTCCTAAGAATTCTCATCACACATTTAAAAATTTTTTCTTTTTTTTTTTGGTATCTCTACAAGATGATGGATGTTAACTAAACTAGTTGTGATAATCATTTCACAAATATGTAAGCCAAATCATTAGGCTGTACACCTTCAAGTTATACAGTGCTGTATGTCAACTGTATATGAATAAAACTGGAAAAGTAAAGGTACTGTTGCAAAATCTAAAAATAAAAATAATAACTCACTTATTAAAACCACTCCAAAAGGAATTAAGACTGTGACTGTGTCATAACAAAATATACTGTAATACAGATTCACACTAGAAAATGGGTAATAAAACAACCCTGAGTGGGAAGCACAGAAGAAAAAAAGAAGGGCAGTTATCATCATGAGACATTTTGGTATCTCTACAGGTGCTTCAAGCAAGAAAAAAAATCAAGCAAGAAAACACAATGAAGTAAGGATAAGTTGGATGAGCACTGTAAACCAACAGCTAACATGAAACTGGAAAAGAAAAAAGGAATAGGAAAGCCAAAATCATAAAATAAATAATGTTAAAAAAAAAGAAAGAGTATTAGTAAATTTCAAGCCAGTCTTAAAACATATAGCTACTCCATTGTACCTTGGGATGAAGTGTGGTCTTATACTGCCAAACGGAGGTTTTAGAGTTGCAGTGATTTCCTCGCATTGAGCATTCCTTTGGGATGTCATCAGTCAGGATGCTCTCTCCTCGTCAGTGCCTGCAATTTATGTTCAAACAATTATATCTCAGAAACCACATGTTCAGTCTCCCAATAACCTTTGTAAGCAATCACCCAGTCAATTTAACTCCTTACCTCTTAAAACGGATTTTATATATTTTACAAAATAATTTATTAAACTACAAAATTAACAATAAAATCATTTAAAAATAAAGAACAGAATTTTTAATTTTGATAAAATAATTTTATAATTTTCTGATTTCATGATAAGAGCTTTTGATATTTCATTGCAAAAACTTTTATCTACTCCAGTCTGTGAAGATTTTCTCCTCGGTTTTCTTCTAGAAGTTTTATGTTTTAGTTTTTATGTTTTGATCGATGACTCACTTCAAGTTAAGTACCTGTGGGTTTTGAAAATTAAATCAATGTTACATTAATAGAATAATTTTACTTGGTAATGATGTAATATTATTTTTATGCATTGCTGGATTTGAGTGACAATATTTTGATAAGAATTTTTGCATCTATCTATGTTCATGAGGGATATTGGTTTATAGTTCTGTTTGCTTACAATATCCAACTGGTTTTAGCATATTAGGATAATGTTGGCATCATAAAATGACTTGGCAGTGATTCATTAGCACTATTTTCTGAAGGAGTCTATGTAAGATTAGCATTGCTTTCCTTTCAATATATGTTTGAATCTACCAGTCCAACTTTGTGGGACTGGTATTTTCTTTGTGGGATATTTTTAAATAATCAATTTCCTTTTTTTTAAAATAGAAGAGTTATTTACATGTGGTTTTTTTTCCCCTGTACCAGTTTTATTAATTGGGACTTCCAGGAATTTTCAATTTTATCCTAAGTAGTCATAGCTTTTAACAAAATATGTCATTATTCTTTTAATGTATGTAGGCTCCAAAGAGTTTTCCCCTCTTAAATCTTGTCTTTGGCAATTTTTGTCTTCTTTCATTTTTTTATACTAAGTCTAGCAAGAACTTTATCAACTTTAGCGATTTTTTCAGAGAACTCTCTCTTTGCTCAATTGATTTTATCATTTATTTTCTACTTAATTCATTATTCTATTCCTTATTTCATTCCTTCTACTTATGTTGGGTTTAAATTTTTTTTTTTTACTTTCTAAAATCAAAGCTTAAATCATTAGTATTTAAATATTTCCTCTTTTCTAATATTAGCATTTAAGGCTATAAATTTCCCCATAAGAATTATTTTAGTTGCATTCTACAAATTTTGATGTGCTATTTTCATTACAGTTCATCATTTCATTCAGTTCAACATTTTTTCTAATTTACCATATTACTTATTAACTGAATCAGGGGTTATTTAGAACTGTGTAGCTAATTCTCAAATGTTTAGGTATTTATTTCCAGGTAAGTTTTGTTATTGTTTTCTAAATTAACTTCATTGTGGTCACAGAATACATGCTGTATGACTTTGATTATTTTATTGGAACTTCTTTTTTAGTTCAACATATGATCTATCTTGACAAATATTCCCTGTGCATGCAAAAAGATGTATTCTTTGTTGGGTATAGTTTTCCATAATTTCAGTTAGGTCATTCAGGATGGTACTGCTATTCATGTTTCCTATACACTTAGAAATTTTCTGTCAACTTATTTTATTAATACTGAATTGTGTTGAAATCTTCAACTACATTTATGGGTTAATTTGTTTTTCCTTTCAGTTCTCTTAGTTTTTGCTTCCTGTATTTTGAAGCTCTGTTTTAGGTTCATATGCATTTAGAATTATGTCCTCTTGGTGAATTGATCCTTTAATTATTATGAGATGATATTCTTTACTTTGGTAATATTGCTTGATCTGAACAATACTGTTTTGTTTTATTTCATCAGATACAAACACAGCCACTTTAGCTTTTTTTATGACTAAAAACCTATCATTGTCTTTATATTTAAAGTGATTTTTTTTTACTTTGGATATGTTTTTCAGGTCTAGATGTTAATTTTAGTTCTTTTTTCATATTTCTAATTCCCCTCATTTTTATGTTTTCCTCTAAATCCTTAAAAATATTTATAATTTCTTTTTAATGAATGTCTGCTAATTATCATCTATTTTATTTGTGGCTTTGCTGCTATTAACTAACTGCATTCTTAGTTTATTAGTCACTTTTTCCTGCATGTTGAATAATTTTTGATTCAATGCTAATGATGATTTTCATGTTGTTGAGTCTGGAGTTTTAGTTTTCCTCTAAAGAATGCACTTTTGTATGCATGGAGGGGGGCATAATTATTTCATCCATTTGAGGTGGTTTAAAAAGTTTTGTTCATGAGATGCTAGAATAGCCTTAATTCAGACATAATTTAGCCTTCTTACTAAGGTATGACCCTTTGGGGATCTCTACTGAATTCCTTGATTGTTCACCAATGTTTCTCCACGTTGGCTGGTCTGAGCTCAAATATCTCCCAGGCCTGTTCATGCTCTCTGCTTCCTGTCTTTCATTCTGGAAAGTGCCTTCAGTTAGAAAGGTGGAATGATTGTTGAACTCACTTAAGTGGTCTCCCTTCTCTTTAGGATCACAGCCTTGTGTTGCCTGTTTTCCAAAGTCTGAAAACAGTTGTTTCTTATATTTTGTCCAGTTTTTTAGTTGTTTATGGTGTACTAATCTAGTACTTATTACTTGCCTTATATTTTTTGCCTTTTTATTGTAAAATTAAATTAAATTAAACACACAAAAGAAAATGTAGCTTAGTGAATTAATGTAAAGTTAAATGCCTGCCATGCATGATCTGAATTTTTGTGTCCCCCCCCCAAATTCATATGTTAAAATCCTAATCCTCAAAGGTGGGGCCTTTGTTTAAATCATGGGGGTGGAACCCTCACAAATGGGATTAGTGCCTTATAAAAGAGGCAATAGAGAGCTCCCTAGCCCTTTCTGCCCATTGGGAATACAAGGAGGTCTTTAACCTGGAAGAAGGCCCTCACCCAACCATGCCAATGTTGTCATCATGGACTTCCAGCTCCAACACAGTGAGAAATAAACTTCCATTGTTTATAAGCTACTCAGTTTTGGTATTTTGTTATAGCAGCCCAAAACCTTTATAACCTAAGTCTAAGTCTAAGACAAAACTTTTATAACCACCACCCTGGCCAAGAAACAGAAATTCGCTAGCTATCCTGGAAGCCTCTCTGTGTGCTATTCCCCATTCAACAGCCCCCTTCTATCCATATCTAGTATCTCAGTTTTTGTAATACTCATTTCCTTGGAGTTTTTGTGGCTTTCAATCATCCAAGTGGGCACCCTTAGACACTATACAGTCTTACCCATTTTTGTTACCTTGAATTGTCTTCTAAGTCTCTTTTCATGTAGAGGTGTTCCCTTCATCCCTTTCTTTTCTTTACTATTTATCTTTTTAAGAATTGAGCTGTTTGTCTTGTCCATGTTCTCACAGTCTGAATTTCGCTGATTATGTATTCATGGTGTAATTCAACGTGTTGTTTTTTCTGTTTCTTGCAAGCTGTCTTCAGGATCCAAAAGCTTGATAAAACTACCTTTTTATTCCTTTGGTAAGACTATAATTTTTATCTGAAGGCACTTACAGCTTGTTTTCACTCAATTTTATGTTTGCAGCCATTTGTGTTCAATGCTTAGATTCACTGGTGTTTGCAAAATAGACATATCCTAATGTTTTTATTAGCTGGAATAAGTTTATAAGAAGATACAACCTCATTTACTATTTACCAAGTGGTATGGTTCATTTAAGAAGGGAGAAATGAAAGCTTACTTTTTTCCTTTTATTTATCTTTTTAAGATAATGACTTGTGACTGACTGTATTAGCTTTTTATGGCTGCTGTAACAAATTACCACAGACTTGATGCTTTAAAACAACATACATTTGTTCCGTACATGCTGGAGGCCAGAAGTCTGAAGTGAGTCTTATGGAGCTAAAAATCAAGGTTTCAGCAGGGCCACACTCACTACAAAGGCTCCAGAGACAAGAAGAATGCAATCCTCATTCATGGTACTTCCTCCATCTTCTCTCTTTAACAGTGTTTCCATCACATGGTAGTCTTGTTTGCTGTCTGTAGTCAAATCTCCTTCTGTCTCCCTCCTAGGAATACTTGTGATTATGTTTAAGACCCACCTGGATAATTGAGGATAATCTTCCCATCTCATTACTCTGAATTTAATCACATGTGCAAAGACCCTTTTTCCACCTACAGTAAAAGTCATAAGAACTATGTATCTTTCAAGACCTACCACAGTGACAAATACAATCTTTTAAAAATATATTATGTAATTTTATTATGAACTCACAAATTTAAACATATTTTATTGGCCTCAAACCATTTTAATTTTTATACAAGCTATGGTCAATTAGAGCCTCAATTTGACTTCTGAATCCTTGTGACATGACCTTTGTAATATTCTATTGTTTCTCTGCTATACAGTATTTCAAGATGTTCTTATATTTTCTGCTATAGACTTGGCATCAGTCATATTTTGAAGAAGCCAAGGTTTCCTTTAAAAGAAAATAATATGTCAAAAGTATAATCTGGAAGCTAGGGTTGCTATTTGCTACTTGTTGGTGATGTTTTTATTAGATTTTTCAAATTCAGGTCTACATAGTCTTTACTGAACCTTTCTTATTTTAGATCTTTCCACACTAAGAATCCTCTTTCTTAAGGTCACAAGTAATGATAGATTTAGAATATATCATAATTGTTCATTTGCTTTATCTCACTTATTTTTTTATCCCATTTAAGTATTTAAATATATTACTCCATTTCTTCTGGTACAAAGCACTGCTGTTAAAAAAATCTGATGATAATATAATGTGATGCCCTTATGAAATATGTGCTCTTTTCTCTAGAGTTCCCAAAACTATTTTTTCTTTTTCTTTAAAGTCCAATAATTTTACTAGAGTATTTCTCAGTCTTGCTCTGGGTTAAAAATCTCAGGCAATTGTGTGCTCTTTTAATGTATATTTCACAACAATATTTTTCAGCAAGTTTTTAATTTTTGTTCTATTATTTATATATTTTTTTTCTTTTTTAGGAA